TTGACGAATCGTCTTGTGCCAAACTGCTGCTGCCTGTTTTAAGCCGTAGAGGCTGCGACGTAAACGACATACCATGCCATCTTGAACTCGAATCCCTTTCGGTGGCACCATGAACACTACTTCTTCTAGATTGCCGTTTAAGAATGCTGTCTCCACATCGTATTGCTTCACCACGAAACCAAGCTGGCAACAAACCGCCAAAAATATGCGTACAGTGTTCAAACTCGCAACAGGCGAATAGGTCGACGTGTAGTCCACACCAAACGTCTGAAAACAACCGAGAGCAACCCAAGCCCTGCCTGAGGAAAAGGTAAACACACCTGCCGTATTTTCGTTGAGTCGTTAGATCAGCTGCAGCGATTTCTTCCCGTCTGCTCTGGCCTTGGTCGAGAGCGACCGTCTGCGTCGTTGTCTCGAAAACAACCAAGTCGGTCGTTTGACGCCCTGGTAGAGGTCGAGCGACAAGTCCGTTGTTTTAAGTACACCGAACACTCGGCAAAAAAACATCACAAACTTTAACTGAATAAGTGAGCTTTTCTTCACCAAATCATGACCTCCTTAAATCCTCAAGGATGGTCTACTGACGCTACCTCGCAGAAACTGATCGAAATGGTTGGCAAGCAGCAGCAACTGCTTGAAGCCACGAATAAGCGTGAAGTGGAAGTGGAAGGTATCCACTTTGCAATCGCTTCAGTCTTGCGAGTATCAACAGCCAGTCGTTTGGCAGAAATCGTATGGCCGAGGAACGTAACTTCGGACTAGGTCAAGAAAGAACATGTTTGGATCTGGTGGCCAGCAAATACTCATTCGTTTGAGGAAATCATATCTGCTCTTCAAGAAGACGTCAGTAAACGCTTCAATAAGTGGTTGATCGGAACAGGAGTCGAATCACTAACTGGCATGACCGCACAAATCTTGACACGGTACACTTCCCTGTACACGTGTTTCTTCACGTTGCGTTTAAAGTCCGCTGCAATCTCCACAGCTGCTTGACTAGCAACCGTTGATGGAGGTGCCCGAGCCACACGTGGAAACGAAATCTCATGCGAGCACCAATTGATGCATGGCTGAAACTTGGTAAACCAAGGGTTTCCCAACATGGCATCGTGGACAAATCCAAGTGACCATTCCATGACCTGAAGTTTGCTGAAACGGTAGCGACCAAATTCAATAAACGCTTGACCTTTCTTCACCGAACGAGCTTTCGTAAAAGCTCCATCGAACGGAGTGATTTGTGAGACATCAAACGTAGCGGTGTTAGCGACTAATCCTGGGCGAACAACATGGCATGGAGTACCACTGTCGAACATGATGACGGCGGGTTTTCCATCACAAGTCCCTTGCTTACGAGTAAGCTCGCTCTCACGATGCATGGACGACAAGGTGGACGTGGAGATCTCATCCACTTCAACAACCTCAACCTCGTCATCGGAACGGGTCATAGACGATCGTTCAGCAGCAGCAATTGTAGGAGAAGAAGAATTAAAGCTCGCGGCAGATTGCTCATGACGGCTCTTTCGAGCATACTTCTCCTTGTTCTTGAACTTGAAGCACTGCTCAATGACATGAACAGACCTCTTGCAGTAGCGACATCGCTTGCTGGACGACGAAGAAGAAGCAGAACGGCGATTTTCTAGTGCTCCCTGAGTCAATTTCCACTGGCTCGGGTTCGTTCTCCTGAACACGCGTAGGCGTGGCTTGCTAATGGTGCGAATTGTTGTTGGACTGAGAGCGTGATCGGTCTTGCGAAAAGAACGATGGACGATAGTTCTTACCGCGGACATGATGCGATCGATCATACTCCAAAGCAGCCTTCATTGTCTGCGACACTGTCGTACAGCGACGATATTGCACCTGGTCACGCGTAGGACTGACGAGTCCACGTGGGAAGTAAGTGATCTTGTCCAACTCACTCATGTCTGTCACTTGCATGATGGCTTCACGGAAGCGAGAGATGTAATCTTCCAAGCTAGAGCTATTTTTCTGCTTGAGCGCATACAGCTGATCACGTAAGCGCTCTTGCAAATCCAGAGGCACAAATTCATCGGTCAACCTGGCCATAAGACCCCACATGTCCTTGATATCACGCTTGTTCAGCTTGTACCAAGCGGCAGCTTTTCCTTTAAAGCTCGGAGTAGTAATAGCCAAAAATTCAAGAACTTTGGTTGTCGTTTTGCCAATAGATGTTGTGGCAAACGGATACCTTCCACTTCCACTTCACGCTTATTCGTGGCTTCAAGCAGTTGTTGCTGCTTGCCAACCATTTCGATCAGTTTGTGCGTGATAGCGTCAGTAGACCATCCTTGAGGATTTAAGGAGGTCATGATTTGGTGAAGAAAAGCTCACTTATTCAGTTAAAGTTTGTGATGTTTGTTTGCCGAGTGTTTGGTGTACTTAAAACAACGGACTTGTCGCTCGACCTCTACCAGGGCGTCAAACGACCGACTTGGTTGTTTTCGAGACAACGACGCAGACGGTCGCTCTCGACCAAGGCCAGAGCAGACGGGAAGAAATCGCTGCAGCTGATCTAACGACTCAACGAAAATACGGCAGGTGTGTTTACCTTTTCCTCAGGCAGGGCTTGGGTTATTTCGTCGTTCAAGTATCCGAAATATTCGTCGAGTTGACGTTTACGAGGTTCTTCACTTGACACACATAAGTGCAATCGACGACGTTTACGCTCGCGCTCAAGTGCGGACCGACGAGTAACGTATTCCAGGATTTTCGTATCCAGATACGCACAGAGAAACACTGATTGGTCGGCCAGACGAGTAAAAATCAGCAGATCCGAAAGGTTTTGCAAAACCGTTTCGTGAGTGATGATCTGTGGCGTCAGTAATCGAATCTCGCAGAGCTTTAACAAAGCGGAAGTGACGATCGACACCGAATGCAAAAGTGCTGCAAATAAAAGCGGCAGCCTCGGCGTGTTTGGGCTTATCGAAAAGCTCGGCGATAGAGTGACGGAACGGATAATCCGTTCTTTGCGCTTGGGCATACGCGGACAACGACGAGGTGTGCAGGTACTATCTTGATCCGGTTCTTATAGACCAGACGCTTAGGGCAGTACACACGCAATCAACGATGACGTTGATCAGGGACGCGACGTAGGAGGCCAGCCGAAGCTCTGACGGCGAGAAGACGACACACACTCAACGAGCGACTTTCCGAGTGTCGAGTACCGAAAACGCGATGAGACGATCCCTCCCTGACTTCAACCAGTGCTACCAGATGTGACGACTGGTGCGAGGACGGCGCAGAGGAACGAAGGAAGAGTCGCGTGGCGATAAACGAAGCGGAGGAGGGCGGCGAGAGTCCAACGATGGAGACTCGAAGGTAACGCGCAGGAGGCTACTGATGTGCCTCAAAGAAGGT